GGAGCCAGGTGCTTCTTCCCGGTCTCCCACATGGGTGCAGGGACCCAAGGACTTGGGCCATCTTCTACTGCTTTCCCAGGCCACAGCAGAGAGCTGAACTGGAAGAGGAGCAGCTGGGACTAGAACCCAGCACCCATATGGGATGTTGGCACCACAGGTGGGGTATTAACCCACTGCACCACGGCGCCAGCCCCACACTATTTCATTTTAAAGGAAATTGGCATAATAGGGATTCCTTGACATAATACATAGAAAAAGGTCCATTGAAGTGCCTTGTCAAGATGTGGACAGCAAACAAAAGCTATAGTAATTGAAATTTCATCTTCTAGAACTTTAACTCTTGAACTGTCTCCACTGTCAACTACAGTTTGCTCTAATGTTGTCAGATGAGACTTATACGATAGTTCTTTCTGTACAAACTTGAAAGTTGCACCATTTCTGTCCCTTCAGGTTTTCCTTGAAACCTGGTGTTCTCCCATATTACTCCCATAAACTTGCTTTTTGCTTCAATTGGTAAGAGTTGGTTTCTCTTTGTTACCACCGAAGAACCCCCAAAATTACAGTGCTCTTTATCAATCTCCTTTTGCTCTGGATAGTCCTCAATACTCATACAGCAGACCTCCGTTCTAAATGCTCCTCTTTTTTCACTATGCATATTTACCCTAAGAGATGTCAACCATTCCCTTAGCTTTAATCATCATTTAAATCCTGATGATTCAAAAATATGTATCTCTATTTCAGATAGATCTCTCTCCCACAGGAATTTCAAATTCAGTGTTCCCCAAAGTCAACTCAACTTTCCCTGGAAGCTTGCATCTTCTCCTATGTTTTCTATCTCAATGAATACCACAATTCTCACAATTGTTCATGACATAAACCAAATCACACAATTTTTCATGCCATTTTGACTCTCTCCTCTTCTTCATACTCTGACTTCCTATTTTGACTCAACCATTCTATATGACATTCTTTCCGTTTTCCCCTGTAACTTTCTTTTTTTTTTTTTTTTTTTGACAGGCAGAGTGGACAGTGAGAGAGAGAGACAGAGAGAGAGAAAGGTCTTCCTTTGCCGTTGGATCACCCTCCAATGGCCGCCGCTGCAGCCGGCGCACCGCGCTGATCCGATGGCAGGAGCCAGGATCCAGGTGCTTTTCCTGGTCTCCCATGGGGTGCAGGGCCCAAGCACTTGGGCCATTCTCCACTGCACTCCCTGGCCATAGCAGAGAGCTGGCCTGGAAGAGGGGCAACCGGGACAGAATCCGGCGCCCCGACCGGGACTAGAACCCGGTGTGCCGGCGCCGCAAGGTGGAGGATTAGCCTATTGAGCCACGGCGCCGGCTCCCCTGTAACTTTCTTGAATCTGTCTTCTCAGTCACCACTTTGTTCACCAAATCACTATTTATTTTTAATTTATTTCCTTCTTCCAATGTTTTCTCCCCCTAAAAAAAATTCTCCATATCACAACTGGAATTATCTGTCAAAATAAAAATATGTTCTTGTCATTTTACTATAGGACTGTTTTAGTGTCTCTCTATTGCCCTTAAGAAAAGGTCCACATTCGTTAAATTTTTAAAGGTTGATTTATTTATTTATTTATATGAAAGGCACAGCAACAGTAATCCTCCATTTGATGGTTCACTCCCCAAATGGCCCCAACAGCTGTGGCTGAACCAGGTTGAAGCCAGGTGTCTGGAACTCCATCCTGGTCTCTCACATAGGTAGAAGGGGCCCAAGTACTTGGGTCATCTTCCACTACCTTCCCAAGTGCACTGACATGGGGCTGGGTTGGCAGCTGGGACTCAAACTTTAACTCAGATATGGGACAACAGCATCACAAGCAAGCTTAACCTGCTGCATCACAACACCAGACCTTCACTTGTCCATCTACTTACAGTAACCTCACCTACTTGTACTACTTGTAGTACAGGATGATGCCGTAATTCCGTCACCTGTCAACCTCATTACCACCATGCCTTCTGTTTAAAATCCCTTTTCTAAAATTCTCCCACATTGCAACTTCTTATCTTTCAAATCTCAACTTAGTACCACCCCCAGAGAAGCAAAATCTAAACCATCTAAATCTAAACCATCTATCCAACAGGATAGCAACCAGTCATACACAGCTATTGAGCACCTGAAACGTAACTGGTCTGCAGCAAGAGGCCATTTAGGGAATGAACCAGCAGAGGAAAGACCTCTCTCCCTGTCAATCAGTCTTTCAAATAAATCTATAAGTAAATTTTTAAAAATACCTAGTCTGAATTGAGATCACTAGAAATTTAAAATACACACTGATTTGGAAGATTTAGTATGAAAAAAGAATGTAAAATATCTTAATTTTTATATGGATTGCATATGAAATATTTTGAGTCTATTGAGTTAAAATATTTTATTTAATTTCATATTTTTACTTTCATGGGGCTTACACTGTATTTTGATTGGACAGCACCTTCATTGCATAAGGAAGAGCTCCTTTCATCGGCGTCTATATTTCTTTACTAGCATTTATCTTTTAAATTTGCTAACTTGTCTCTTGCACAAGGCTCTTGTGAACAAGGGGCTATCTTGGTCAACAGAGCAATTCCACAGATGATAAAATAAATATTATGTTTGGATTCCTTCTCTTTGGGATTTGCATACTCAACAAAATTTACTTGTAACCCCAAATCAATACATGTGATGCTTTCCAGATCGACTGTGAACAAGAACAGAGATTTGAATAATCCAGTGCACATTTTCCCAGCTGAGGTCAAACTGACTGCTTTCTTGTTTCAACTATCAAATTGTAAGCGAGTATTCTTTTCCATATGTAATGCTATGTTTGGGCGTTTATGTGTGTGTGCATTTTGGCCCTTCTGTTGATTTCCCTGTTTAAAATTGCCCCCAAGAATTATGCTGAAGAGCTTATTTAATGGTACAAGAAGGCTACTGTGTGCCTCAGAAAAAACACATGTGTTAGATAAGCTACCCTCAGGCATGAATTAAGCACCATTGGTCATTGGCTCAGTGTTAATGAATCAATTAAATGTATTAAATACCTTTAAACAAGGGCAGGTGCTTTGGCTCAGCAGGTTAAGCCAACTGCCTGCAGAGCCAACATTCCATACAGGCACCAGTTCAAGTCCCAGCTGATCCCCTTCCAATCCCGCTCCCTGCTAATGCACCTGGGGAAGCAGTGGTAGATGGCCCATGTGCTGGGGTACCTGCAGCCACTTGGGAGACTCAGATGAAACTCCTGGCTCTTGGCTTCTGTCTGGCCCAGCCCAGCAGATGGAAGACTTTCTGTCTCTGCCTCTTCCTCTCTGTAACTCCCCCTTTCAAATACATAAATCTTTAAACAAAGACACATATAAAATAAGATCACATATTGAGCAGTTTATGAAAATGCTGTGACCAGAGGATCACAGGACCCTAACCTTGTATTCTCCTGTGAGCAATGGTTCAGAATTTGCTAATTCATTGTTCCAACAACTTCAGGAGAATGGACTACATTTGTTGAATGAATAAATCCCAATAATTCCCAATAATTTGATTCAAGAGCCAAATCTTATGTGATGGTAGTTAGATCAGTGATTCTGGGGCCAAACTGCCTAGATTTCAGTCTTGGCTCTCTGACTTGCTAGCTGTGTGATTTAGGACAAATTACTTTTCTCTAGCCTGTTTTCATAACTAAAAATGCAAATAAAACAGCCATTAATGGACGCCAGGGACTAGGTGTTGGGGGAGGGGGCTAAATACAAATGGCAGGAGGAAACTTTTGGAATGAGGGAAATAGTCACTGTCTGGATTAAAGAGGTGGCTATCTGCCAATCTTTTTCAAAACTAAGAACTAAAAAGCATCCATTTTATTTTAAATTATACAAACCTGGGGTTTAAAAGAGAAGCAGTTAAGATTTAACAAATTTTGGACTAGCTGCCTAAGTAACCTGCCGTACTACCGATCATTCTAGTAACTTTAGGGAAAGCTTAGGTGGTGTCAGGTAAAACAAATTGGGACTCAAGAACCCAGAGTTCCAATCTGGCTCATTCATATACAGTTAGAGGCTGGGTTCCGTTTATGGGAAATCACTTGCTTATAATAAAAGTTAAATTAGACAACACATGTGAAATACATACATGTAAAATGTAGTCATATAGCAACTGTTCATGGGACTATTCATGGGAATACATAAATTGGAGTGGGAAGTAACTTCCTAGGTCACCTCCAGGGTAGCAGAATGTGAGCAGTTTGTGAAATGGAACTGTGAAAAGCACAGCGCATAGCCTTAGGAAGCTTGTCTTTACTTCTATCCAAGTCTATGGGCGCTCGGTGGATTCTGAAGACAACTCAACCGCTCCAATGTGGTTTGGAGAGATTCCAAACTCAGAAATACCTAAGCCAGAAGGGAAGAAGGGCTGCGTTGTCGCACTTTCTGGACCGCATAATCCGGCGGGAGTGGGCTCTCCTGGCCCCCACATTCTTCCGGCCTCTGGTGTGTGGGGCAGGGCAGCTCTGTTCTCCGCCCACTCCTAGGAGCCCGGCCAGGGGCAGAACCGCATCACGGGGTGGCTGGAGCCTCCAGCAGAATCTGCAGCGGGGAGCCACGGACTTAAATACCGCACTTAGGCTCTGCCTCCAGGAATAAGCTAGGTGTGAACTCCAAGGAGAGCTGCAAGTTGTACCAGAAGCCGGAACCCAAAGTCCTCTCCATAACCTCGCGGAACCCTTGGTGAACAGAGGACAGGGACTACAGGGCGCGCGGCTTGGCTGCCGTCAACGCCGACTGAGAGCCGACCGCCACGAACCTAGAAGTTAGAGAGAACAAGCTTTCCGGTCTGCGAGTTTAACCTCGGCAACTGAACTGTTGGAAGCGCTCCGCACGCCGGAAGTGCACTAATCCGCAGCACGTGGGGTTGCCAGGGCGCGCTTCACGTGACTGGGCGGAGCCTTGGGAACCCAGTAGCCAATAGTAGCCCTGGAAGGCGGTGCCTGTGACGCCTCGGGGCCTATCCCGGAAGTGGGGCTGGGTTGGGGGCGGGAAAAGGCGGGGAGACCGGGGTGTGGAAAGTGTGGCGGCCCCGCCCCGTGTCTTGGAACTGCTGCGGCCGCCACCGCCGCCGCCGCAGCAGCTGCCGCGCTGAGGTACCGGGCGCGGATGCGCAGGCGAAAGTCCGGGTTGCCTGCTCAAAGCTGAAAGGTGAAGACCTGGGGAAAAGCTGACTCGTGCTGGTCCCAGAGCGAGGGAGGGCAGGGAAGGGAGCCGGAACGAGCCATGGCCGAGAGGTGGAGGAAAGATGGATGGGGGAATGGAGGCGAGCGCGAGACCTGCCGGGGCTCAGGCCCTTGAGGAGCCGGGCCGGGCCGGGCTGGGCTTTCCCTGCAGAACAGGGGATGCCTGGGCGACTGGGGCGGCGGCGTGCGGGGCGGCGGGCGGGGTGCGCGCCGGCTGCCCAGGGGCCAGGTGCTGCTGACCACGTCGTGTCAACTTGCATCGTTCCCGGGGCCGTGCGGCCTTGGGCTGGGCGCCGAGCAGCGGGCGTGCAGGCGCGGCGCGGCGCGGTGCGGGAAGGTCGCGGGTTTCTGCGGTGGGGCAGCAGGGCGGGGACCTGCTGCCTGCCCCCAGCGCGGGTGAACGCCCGAGGCGGGAGGTGAGCTCCTCGGGGTTTTCCTTTCCCACCCGCAACCACCTCCCGATGGCTGGAAAAGTTTGTAGAGGCCAGAGTTTAGAAAAGTGCCCACTAGTCTTGGGTGGGTGTCGTGCAAATGCAAAAATGACAGTGAATCTTACCAGATAACCTGTCTGTCGCAAATAAGACGTTTCCCTGCCGGCATGCTGGTTATTAAAAAGCAAACACAAACTTTTTGCGTAGTTCCCTCGGAAGAACAGTCCTCTCCCCAGCCCACCATGGCAGACGAAATCGATTTCACCACTGGAGACGCCGGGGCATCCAGCACTTACCCTATGCAGTGCTCGGCCCTACGCAAAAACGGCTTTGTGGTGCTGAAAGGACGACCATGCAAAATAGTGGAGATGTCAACTTCCAAAACCGGAAAGCACGGCCATGCCAAGGTAAGCGCCCTTCCGAGTCGGGCTGTGGCCTCCGCGTTGGGATTTTCATCACTCGTATTCCATTACAGATCTTGACATTTCTATACTTCACGTTTTGTAATAAGCAATTTTTTTTGTTTCCGTAGTTATTAGGTGGTCAGCTGTTACCTTGAATACTTACAGGTACACGTCCTTCTGGGGGGCTTGTCATGTTTCATTGGGAACTGAGTCTCCCCGAATCCTACTGGCCTAGACTAAGATCTATTCAGTTTACCTTTGTGAAAACCTCTTTTAACAATTCTTAGAAACCTAACTTCATCTTTGTCATATACTTTCACAATCTAGATTACTAGAGTTTCTGTTATACTGGGTCTTGACGTGTCATGATACCATTTAGTTTTTTGATGTGTCTCAATTCTGTTAACACCATGGCTTTTTGTTTTTTGTAAGAAAGTAAAAGTAGATGACCCTGGCAGGAGGAGAAAGAATCTGTCATAATAAGTATTGGTATTGTACTCCTGTGTATGCAATGAGTGATACACTTGGCAGAGAATGAACAGGTCTTCTGTTGCCCTCTGTTAGGTTCACCTTGTTGGAATTGATATTTTCACGGGCAAAAAATATGAAGATATTTGCCCTTCTACTCACAACATGGATGTTCCAAATATTAAGAGAAATGACTATCAAGTAAGTACTAATTTCCCTTGCAGAATGATTCTTGTTTCTTAAAAGTACAGATGCTTTCTGTCAATTGTAAATTGACAAAAGCAAAGAGTGATTTGGAAGGTTTTTTTCCTAACCAATTATTAGGCACCACCTATCTGAGAAATTGGAGAAATAGTGATGTTTACCTGGTGTTCCTTATCTAGGATTATTGCTAATTGTTTTTAAACATTCTTGCATTTTTAAGAGGTTGAACACTTTGAGTGTTTCTCAAACCAAGTGACTGCATATTGCAAGTAAGTATGTATTTCATGAAATTACTGTTCTCTCTGTTGTAAAATATCTCAAATTTAGATAACTCCTTCCTGAGTACTTTTATTTCTTTCCTCTGATCAAAGACTTTCAAGGAACTGTTCTTCCAACTAAGTTTTTCTATTAATGAATGTTAGTCAGATTTGGTATTCTTAAGAAGTGAATTAGTCAAGAGCCATAAATAAAAAGTAAAGAAAATACAAAAATTATGTAATTGGTTTATTTATATTCAGTGACCCAGCTGGGACCTTTTGCTAAATTATATGTATAAACTTCAAGTTTTAGCTTTACTTACACATTTGGGTACATCATATTTAATGCTAGCATTTTGTTTGGAGTATTGATGATAAACAACTGACCTCATAGTCGGTGGAAGCTCAGATTAATCATAACTAAAACATTTCTTGAAAGTCTTCAGTTTCCTTATCAAGCATACCATATATTGAACTCTCTTCTGTTCATTTTACATAAAAGAATGTAAGTTTGACAGATTTGTTCTGTTCAACTTAAACTGATTTTTTCTGTGCCTTTTGTGTAGATTTTTAAAGAACATTGCTGTCAACTGCAGTGAGCCAGTGATTTCCTTTTATTCTTTGTCCACCTGCAACCATATTTTCATGTAGTTTTGCCACTTTCTAGCTCGATACTCTTGGATAAGTTATGTAACCTCTCTGAGCCTTAGTCTGCCAAACAGGGATAATGTGAGGATGAAATGAGGGGGGAAATGTACCAAAAAGCAGTTCTGGGCTGGGAAGAATCACTGTGTTCCTGAATTTGTATTTACGAAATGCATGAAGTTTGTATATCTTAAATAAAATTTTAAAAAACTAAATAAATAAAAAAAAACTTTAAAAAAAAAGGCAGTTCTGTTCTGCTCCCTCTTTTCCTGTATAAAATTGAACTTAATCATCCTATTGTTGGATCGCTCAGAAAGATGTGGTACATAGGTGTTCAGTAAACATTTGGTAAATGCAGTGCTGATTCAGTGTGGTAAGGTTGGCACAGCAGACTAAGGCTGGGCATGGAATTTTTTTCTTTTTTGCCAAAAATGGACTTTTGTTCTCAAAAATGTGAATTCTTTTGAATATTCAATATTCTTGGTATTCAGTAATATTCAATACAGAATGCTTTTGCCTACTGCATGTTTCAGGAAGATAGGACTAGCAGTTTAGGTAATTACTACCATAATCAAACTGGTCAATAACTAATTGGAGCTCAAGATTTAACATAAAGGAAAAATTTGCTTTGACTTTCACTTTGGTATATAGTATGCTCCAGATGAGGGTGAGGTGAATGAGGTGAGTGGAGTTTTTCCTTCAGTTACAAAACTTTGATTAAATACAGAACTAGTAACAAAATCAAGCCATATAGGAGCCCAAGGCAAAAATAAAAGTCAGTAGTTCTGATTCTGTCTTTATTAAATTTTGATATTCTGTTCATCATGGGATTTTTGTATTCTAATTTAAAAAAAAAAAATACTGCATCACAGTGTTCATCTGATCAAAGCCAACATTGGCACATCATAGCTGTGTAATCTCAGGCAGCAAGTTACTTAGCCTCTCTTACTGCCATTCCTTCACTGGTAACATGGGGATGTGACCGAAAAATTCTTTATGGGGTCATTTTGTAACCAAATTAGTTAATAAAAGCTATGGAAGATGGTCCAAGTACCTGGACACCTACACCCATGTGGGAGACCCGGATTAAGTTCCAGGCCCCTGGCTTCAGCCTGACCTAGCTCTGGCTGTGTGGCCATTTGGGAAGTGAACCTGTGGATGGAGGATCTTTCTATATCTCTCCCTCTTTCTCACTATGCCTTTCAAGTAAAATCTTAAAAGAAAATGTTGTGGAGATTAAAGATAAAACACAGACTGCACATAAAACCTTGTAGATACTCAAAAAAAAAAGATAAATTTCTAAACAAAACAAGAACAGTTTGTGGTATAGTAAGTAGTCAATGCTCACATCCTCATTATGAAGTCAGGAAAGCATACTTATTTCAGTTCATTTAAAGAAATTAGTTCTGTGAGCCTTTCCAGTTGTGTTCATTGTGCAACTGTGGCTTTGTGCTAGTCATCTGCCTTGATTAAACTCCTGCTTTTCCTAGTTGGCTATATGTAGTCCTTTGTATGCTGAATTTGGTATTTCAATGCCAGTTTGGCAGGCAGCAAAAGTGAAATTATAAATAAAAGTAGATTTTTTTTCACATGAGCTGAGATTAAGATGCCTGTGTCCTACCTGCATCTCACATCAGAGTACCTGGGTTTGTTTCCACAGCCCTGGCTCCCAATTCCAGCTTCCTGCTAATGCAGACCCCAGGAGACAGCAGTGTAGTTCAAATAATTTGGTACCTGATACCCATGTGGGAGAACTGGATTGAGTTCCTGGCTCCCAGCTTTGGTCCCAGTCTTTGCAGGCATTTGGGATTGAGCCAGCAGACAGGAGCTCGCTCGCTCTCTCTGCCTCTCAAACAAAACAACTTAAAAAATAAACATTTCGATAAAAATCAAGGTTTGAAAAAGTAGATCTTTGTTTAGGAAAGGAAGCACATTCATATTTACAGTTTTAATTTTATGTATTTTAGAATAAGTTCATGATGAAAGAAAAATGATCTCTTCTGACTCTTCCTTTCTAAGATTAGCTCGAATTAGAATTGCTAATTTCCATTACTTCTCCCAAAAGTACTTATAGTTGTCTGTGGCCCAGTGATGGTGTAAAATGCGAGTATATTCAGACACCTTTGGAAAACCCCAAACTGTTAAACACAGAAATGCACCGACCCCAGCAACTTCTTGAATATTTCTTTAGAAAGTTCTGTGGTGTTGTGTGTCCCACCACAAGGTAAAGGCCATTTCTGCATTCCCTGAAGTTTTATCCATCACTTGAAGACCATTTTCCAAAGAAAAACTATTTACTCCAGGATATATTCAAATATATATTGTAGAATTTTGGATTATTGGTGAGTTGCCAAAACCATGACTATTCAGTCCTAGGATAACCTTCAAATTAGTATTGCCTTTTGGATGTTGAGAAATATGAGTTGAATTTTATTGTTGCAATTCAAGACAACAATGACAAAATCATGATGCTATAAATTCCTGGAGCTCCAAGGTTTTTTGTTGTTGTTGTTGTTGTTGTTGTTGTTTTTTAAATCATTTTTACTTGTTCTGTGGAATCCTTGTGTTCCCTGCTGGAAGCAGTCTTTCTTGGGAAATAGAAAGCCTCTAAAGCAGCAGGGCTCAGTGTTGCAGGGACAGAAGCAAATACTCTGCTATAGAATCATTAAGGATACTAGTGAGAAGAGCCACCACCTTGGATTCCTGATAACTGTGCCCTGTCCATTGGAAAAACAGCACCATGTATTAGAATACAGTGTAAACTATAAAACACCATCCTAGGCCTATAAAACATCATGGAACATGTGCCATAAATGAGTTTTTAATAGGTCAGTCCACTTAGCAAGCTGTTTGGGAATGATGACAACATAAACTAATGAATTCTCTGAGCATCGTTCCGTTACCTCATCAGTTTGTCTGTAGAATGAGCTTTTTTTCCAAAGTTATGCCATGTGAGATACTATGACAGGAATGAGGCATTCTGTGAATCTAGGTGGGATTTTGCCAGAAGCGGGTGGGAAATGCAAATCCATATGCAAAGTAAGAGCCCACTGCAGTAAGGACAAGCCATTGCCTCTTTCCTGATGGAAGGGGTGCTGTGTTGTCATGTTGCTAGCTGTTTCTCCTGGGGAATATGTTGGTCTCTTTCGTGAAGTCTGTCAGTGGCGGCAGTCAGATCAGCCTGGGTAAGGGAAAGTGTGTCATGAAGCTCACTGGACAAGGGCATTCACACATAGAATCTGTCTTATCTCTCCAGTTATTCAGAGCCCCATCTGCAGCAGACACCTTTTGGTAAACATTCATATGGATACGTTCTCTATTTGGAAAAATCTGTCAACATACCCCATACTACTTCCCTAGACTCTATAGTTGGCAGTTTTCCTATCTTGGTCTTTCACTGTTGACTTTATCGTCCAGCTCTTAACCTTTGTCCATGATCAGAATAAATCCACAACTCTGGTTCTCTCTCCTTTTAGGTCCGATGCTTGCAGTTCTTCCCATCCCCACTGTCTTTCAGCACCACCTCTGAGTGGTATCATCATGTAATTACTAACCATCAAGAAACCATCTTGAGTTTTTCTCTTCCTCAGTCAGCTGGTCACAGGGAAGTCCCTGTCAAGCCAGTGAGCTGAGGGGAAAAGTGCTGGGGGAGGAGAAGGTGCTTTCTGAGTCTAAGCCACTTCTCATACGAGTTGTTTGTGCCCTTAGGACCTGCTCAAGTTGATTTCATGTTGCTACTTCTGCTTGATGATGGAGTGCTGCTGTGCAGAGCCAACTTCATGGCCTGGTGGGTCAGATAACACCCCAGTCGGTCATGATGTTGTTGTTCAGGTTGTATAACACTACTGATTGAGCTTTCAGCCTCTTCCAGGAACCAGCACTCTAAAGGAGCAGCTTGAGAGTAGAGGGAAAAGAGGGAAAAAGTAGAAAGGAAGGGGGCTTAGCTAAGCAAGTTTGATTGTTTTGAAATAGATTGAGAAACAAAATATAAATTCAGAAATTAGGGATGAGAAGGCACCTGTAATGATGACATACCTTCTCCAACTTTCTGTTTTACACCAATTATACAAATGGAGGCAAAAAATTGCCCCATTTTCAGTGTTCTTATTCTGACTTCATCGTGGACAGAATCTGTAGTCACTAACCACCTTCGCACCCTTCCTTTTTGTTCATGCTCTGTTTCCTTAGATTACTGTGCCTCCAGAAACTTCGTGGTTACAATACTCTGTAGAATTCTGATACACCATGGTATTTCTGTGTTTTATTGTGGAAATTTTCAAAGTACAAGTATAATGAACTTCATGTATACATCACTCAGCTTCAGTAATTATCAGTACATGGCCAATCTTGTTTAACCCATATCTCACACTCGATTTTTCTTCCTGTACTCTTTGCCTCTTATTTTTTTTAAAGATTATTTATTTATTTGAAAGTAGAGTTACACAGAGAGGAAGGGGGAGGGGGTCTTCTATCTTCTGGTTCACTCCCTAATTGGCCGCAGTGGCTGGAGCTGCACTGATCCAAAGCCAGGAGACAGGAGCTTCTTCCAGGTCTCCCATGCGAGTGCAGGAACCCAAGAACTTGGGCCATCTTTTACTGCTTTCCCAGGCCATAACAGAGAGCTGGATCGGAAGTGGAGCAGCCCATATGGGATGCTGGCACTGCAGGCAGCGGCTTTACCTGCTACGCCACAGCGCCAGCCCCCTGCCTCTTATTTTTAAGCTAATCTCAGATATTGTTTTATCTGTAAGAATTTTGTTATGGATCTCTAAAAGAGAAAAACTAAAAAAGTAGAATACTGTCATACCAAAAAAAAAATCTTTAATATCATCAGTAATCCCATGAAGAATGAAATTTTCCTAATTGTGTTTTTATAATTTTTTTTTTGATGTGGTGGTTCTTTGTTTTATAGTTTCAGTCAAGACCCAAATAAGGTCCACACAATCAGATTGGTTGAGGTGTCTCTTAACTGTTTTTAAGCTGTAAATTCTCCTTTCTCACATATGTACTCAGCGTCCGTCTCTTGGCATTTTTGTTAAAGAGATAATCATTTTTTTTTCTGCAAGCTTTCCTACTGTCTGGATTTTTCTAATGCATTTCCTTGTCATTTACCATTTTCCTCTGTCCCTCATATTTCCTAAAATTTAGTAAAATGTATAGGTTTGATCAGATTCATTTTAGATTTTTTTTATTTTCTTCTTTCTTTTTTTAACAAGACTACTACATAGGTGATGTTCTGTGCAACCATCAGTAAATAAAAAAACCTAATTTTTTTCCTTATGTTATCAGATTTGTCATCATTACCTCAACCCATTAATTTATTAAAGGATACTAAGTAATTATCTGACATTCCTTTTCTTTTTTTTAGCCAGAATACTTCCATTAAAAGACACTTCCCTTCATCCAAATTTTTATGTCCCTGGAGGTACAGTATAAACAAGGGCACTTCAAAAAGTTTGTGGAAAATGGAATTAAAAGCTAAGTACATTTTGGTACAATTTTAAAACCCATGCATAGTTTTTTCATAATATATATTTTCCTTGAACATTTTGAAGGCCCCCTCTATTAGTGGATTTCAAACTTTTTTCACCAAAATAAAATTATTGTTTAATTCCATTTCCATGAACTTTTTGAAGTATCCTAATGTTACTCTGTGTGTGTGTGTGTGTGTGTGTGTGTGTTTACACAAGGGCAACATGAATGCTTGATGTTTCTCTTCAGTTATCAGTATTCAAAATGCATTGGTTCCTAGCATTTGCTGAAGATGACCAATGAAATAACTTCTTTCACTTTGAACTTCAGCTTTTAAACATATTTGTGTTTCAATCCACTGTGGTTTTTAACCCTATTGATTCTCAAATTACTCTATCCTTGGCCTGTGGGAGCTTATTCAGGTTAGCTCCTGTGTTCCTTTGACATGAGCCTAATTAATGGTCTTTGGTAGTTCCTTGTTTTCTAATATAACAGCTTGCTCTAGGTTCATCTTGTATACTTCCTGCTCGGAACCTGGAATTATCCATTTCTTCAAGAAGACTTAAATTCTTTTAGTAGAAGATGAACTACCACATTCTGGTACCAGTATAGTATTATATACTACTAAAGTGCGTGGTACACCACTGTAATAGGGTATTATCTCTTATTACAGTTTTCTCAGTCTGACCTCAGTTGTCTCCCTGCTTGGTATCACAAAGTGATTACTCCCTTCCAAAAAGAAAAAAAAAATGTTTAAAGATATCTAAGAGGTATCAAATGAAGAGGTTTGTTTAAAGGTGAAAGATCAGAATTAGATTAGAATTAGCTTATAATAGTGTCCTCACCATCTCTGCCTTCCAACTCTACAGCCAGAGGGTGCTTTGAAAGAAGATGGGAAAGTGTGCACAAAAATGTGCACCATTATCTTTTTTTCTTTAAGATTGAAAATTATAAAAGGGAAAAAGCATACCTTTAGAGAAATCTGGCAGACAATCACCTTAACCAAACCAAGTGAATCCAAGTAAACATGGCCGGTAAGGGAACAAACTGGCAGGCTTTGCCTCCTGATGTGACACTCTGGGAGTGCATCACTTGTACACAGTATTTCTTCACAAACTACATTACTGAGATCATAAGGAAACAGTGAGACAAACCAAGGAGCAGTCTACAAAATGATGAACCTGTTCTCAAATCAATGTCATGAAAGACAAATGAAAAGACGCTAAACCAACATGACAGCTACATAAATACAGGTATTTTCCTGGAGTTCAGGCAAAAAGTCACTATCAAAGACAAATGTTAGGTGATTTTGAAAAGCTATATATTGAAAAATAGATTATCAATATTAAATGTCCTTATTTTGAAAAACTTATGTAAGAGTACATGCACACACACACATCCTTGTTTCAGGAAAAACATTGAAGTATTTAATAAACATTTAATTTAAAATATAAAGTTATTCATTTGCACTCATTTTTCTATAGCTTAGTTTTATTTTTTGAAAACTTTTATTACATATAGTCATTTTTAATAAGATTATAATGTGCATAAATGCATTGTTTTACTATATGATTTTATGATGTTTTGCATTTTTACCTTTAAAATGCTTTATATATTTCATCCCATGGTTTATTTTATGAGTTTTTAATGCTTATTATAAAATGGTGGTATTTCATTTTTATCAAAATACCAGTGTTATCATTTGGCTCCTATCTTTCAGTCACTAGAGTCAACAAGATTCTTTAACTCTTAAAATAGTTTCACTCCAGGGAATTGCTGAAAGCAAAAATGAGAAAGATCTGCCTTGGAAGCATGTGGTTGGTTTAAAAATTACTGTTCTACTGTACAATCATTAAGTGTACTGAAAATAGATGATTGTAGAAACTAAGAGTGGGAATCCAAGAGGGAGGGGGAGGAAGGATAGGGAGAGAAGTGCCACTATATTCCTAAAATGGTATAAAGGAAATATATGAAACTTACCTAACTTAGGTAAAATATATTTCTTTTAATTTAAAAAAATTTACTATTTTATCTCAACCTCCTTGCTCCTCCCTCCTCTACCCACCACCTCACAAATGTTTGAGTGACTAAGAGGTGAATTAACAGTGACTGCTGTTGCTCTGAATGATTGTTTTTGTGTTTTGTTTTGTTTTGTTTAGATTTTAGCCATGTGCAAAAACTCAAATCTGCGGTGGCTGGAGTGTTCATGGAAAACCATAGGCAGATTTGGTAGATGGTGTACATAGAGGAGAGTGTGGAACTCTAGAAACTATCCCAATAGGATGCCTGGGTTATTTCATGGGCTAATTGGGGTCAAGGACCATGTCTTTGACTCCCCTTAAGTATGTTAGCCCCTGGTATTCTGGACACCTGCATTTTATAAAACCTTCCAGAATCCTTGGCATACTGATAGTGGATGTGCTTTTAGAATACATGTTTTCCATTCCTATAATAAAAGAAATTCAGTTATATCAAAATTGTACTTACGCACAGTATAGATTGATGACTAGGGTTTGTTTCATTAATGTATCAGTAACTAGGTGTTTGGTTTTGGTTTTCTTAAAAAAAAAAAAAAAACTATCGTAAGCAACAAGCTAGAAAACAAAAATTTTCCACTTAACTGTTTATAATCAAATTATAAGATGCATTGTTAGTAATAATGAAAAATTGAAAAAATATTCATATGCCTATTAATGGGAAATGATTAATTCAATTACGGTATAGTCATGCAATTGTTTATTCATTTTACAGGAATGTAGTTGTGTGGTGGTTTTCTAATTTTGAAAGATTTCTAAGATGTACTATTAAGTGAAAATAGCTTACTAAAAAATACTCGTGCTGTCCCATTTTTTTCCAAAAGTAGCCATATGTATATTGTGCACATAAAAGTAAATGCTTTAGAATACACCATGAAGAAACCTAAACTGTTTAATAATACAGAGATTGAGCCTGGGAAGGGAGGAGTGAGTACAGTGAATGGTGTACTTAATACTTGGGTTCTGTGTGTATTTTATACTCTTTTATTTTTAGCATTTTTATACACCAAGAATATATTACTGTATATTACTCTGTACTTATACAAATTAGTGTTGACTGCAATTTAATCGTGCCAGCCTTACAAAGGAATGGGTATAGTCTAATCAGTGCAAATGCTATGATGTCTTCTAACAGCTGATATGCATTCAGGATGGTTACCTTTCCCTGCTGACAGAAACTGGTGAAGTTCGTGAGGATCTTAAACTGCCAGAAGGTGAACTAGGCAAAGAAATAGAAGGCAAATACAATGCAGGCGAAGATGTACAGGTAAAGACCTAGGAGAAAATTGTTTTAATCCGTTTTATAAAAACTGAAAAAAAAAAAACTGTCCTAACTAGTAAGCAGAAAATACCAAATACAAATGCCATTTAAAAATCCTGCCAAGTGTTTAAAATTTTTATCTCTATAAGGTGATTTTTCCAAGATACCCTTAGAGACCCATTACCAAAGAAAGTATCAAAGTTCATTTTTGCTGTATAGCCTATGTCAATCCCCAGTTTGTTTTGAAGATCTGCATCTGAGCTATAAGAAAGCAAACTGGGGGAGTGCTAGCAAGTGAGAGATTTACTTTGTCTTTGCTGCATCTTTCAGAAGTATAGCATCTAGTAAGTGCTGAGGTACAGCTCTCACTCTCCCTGTTCCCTAGATGTTGTTTTACAGCTGAAGTTTGAAAACTTCTACTTTAGAAAACTGTCAAGAAGGTAGATTGTTTTCAAATAACTTTTCCAAAATCAGTACACACGAAATATCCACAAGTACACATTATATGAGGAACTAAATAGATCTCTATATATTGATTTCTGAATAACTTTTTGCCTGCAATTTTTTTCTTCTAGGTGTCTGTCATGTGTGCAATGAGTGAAGAATATGCTGTAGCCATAAAGCCGTGCAAATAAAGAGGGGGGACATCAGGCCTGAGCGTACTGTTTAGGTCTGGGTCAGCTCCAGATCTAAAGTCTGATTCTAAGTTGTCACCAAAGCTATGGCCTTCATAAGCCACCTCATTTTTTTTTATTGTTTTGACATTGTGCTGGGTTAGTTTAGTAAGCAATTGGCAATTTAAGAAAATAATCAAGATGTATAATTCTTTAGTCTTAACTTTGTAGGTGTCTTTCCTATAATGTTCCTGTGGTTTTCAGTTTGTGAATCCAAGAAACAGACAAGGTAGCTTCAGCAGATGTGATTTGTATGAGAAAATCATTTCTGCATTTTAGTTAATGCAAAATAAACCAGGGTTGTAAATCAATGTAACATATAGTGATATTACAATACCACATTAAGGTGAATTGCTCGGCATTAATTTCAAGCTTAATAGTAAAGAATCCATGTAAAAGTGAATTGAAATTATCACAGTTTCAACCTCTGGCAAAAAAATCTTTAAGCAAAAACCATGTTATCAAAAAGTACAGGTATCTTGGTGGCCATGTGCAATCACATGTATTCGCTCAGTCATACTGTTCTTTGCCAAATGGTTGGCAAATTTGAAATAACCATATATGGTGGTTTTAGTACCTTCTTGTGGTTAACATGGGCATTAAATTGTTGGGTGAATACACAGCGACTTCATAAAGTTCGTGGAAAGTGGAATTAAAAGGTAAGTTTATTTTCCTGTAAAAAAAATTTCAAATCAAAAGATCATGAAAAATATGTATTATGATAAAACTATGCATAGGATTTCAAAAATTTTTGCACCAAAACAGCCTTCCATTTTCCACAAACTTTTTGAAGTGTCCACTTATGAGCATGTCAGACTGTAAAGAAGACAAAAAGGACAGTGGCAAAGGGGTTTGATTAAAGCTATAGGTTTTTATTTGAAGCCTTTGTAATCAGCATAGTAAAACAAAGTTGTTTTTAGTTATGGTTTTACTTTTAACTTTTGTAGCACCACCTGCAACCCTACATTTAAAGTGGTGACCCGTGTTTACAAGATACTGTGCAGCACTTTCTTTTAACCTTGTTAATTAGAGTTGCCATTTATCAGCAATTACTGCTTACCAACCACTTTTCATTAGATGTTTTAACATTAAAATATTTGTTAGACAAAAACTGGAAATCCTTATTTAACTTGATTTGGGATATTTGTTAAATGCATATATATTTCTCTGAACTGAAATGAAAATGAATCATGGAAGAAATTTACTTGATGTGCAAAAATTATTTTAAACATGTTTGTTTTCTGATTGGTCATATGACTTAATTCAATTACTAGTATGAAATACAACTAGGAAAGAATTAAGCGAACTGAATTATGTTAAAGGGTGTTTTAGGTGACAGCCTGATTTTCTCTGTAATCTTCTGGGTCACATGTGTGTTATTTCCAGACATTTAGGCATTGTTAGAGAGTTTGTGAGGATCATTGACTCAGTTGCAGTCGTTGTATTGGAGTAAAACGTAGAACAAAATCCTAACTCAGAAATACCATAATTCTTTTAAGAGTGGTTCTGAAGCTTCTCACATCATGTGTTGGCATCTTAAAGACCCTTATTCCCATGATGTAGGAAAATCAATGTGGTGATATAACTGATCCAGTCGGCCACTGGAACTACCACGAAGAGCAAAAGATCCCAGTTTGAGGCGCTTAGTTTGTAAATCCTGTTTTATGCTCAACAAACTCATTTGAGAAGAAGCAAGATACTCTGAGAAAAGTGCAAGAAGAATTCTAAAACACAAGAAATACTGAGGTTGTTGCTAAATGTTTTTAGTATAATGGTTTTAGCTTTTGCCCATCTAAAGCAGAATTAGGAACTAGGCTAAATTCTTTCCAGTATTCTATTTAAGTATCTACTACATACTGTTCCAGTTTTTTAGTTCTCTGATGTGTGTTGTACTTGCTGCTGATTGGCATTATTACCCATGGGAATCCCAGAAAGTTATTAATCTGTGCTGCTTGCTGGTCATTTATATGGCCTCAGTTAACCATCCTAGTGTTTTGAATTAGTATCATTTTGTATTTTAGCATGCCCTTGGTCTTCCCAACTTGTCAAACTTCACATAAATATATTTTCAATTGAGATGTAAGGATATACAAATTATAATAATGCATCTCTATCTTCATACCTTGAATGGCAAAAGTTATTTATGCATAAATATCTCAAGCATTATATGAAGTGTAAATACTCTGATATATAATTATAATTATAGATTTTAAAGATATGGGACTGTTTATTTTCACATAAGTCAATAGATGTTTCTCTAGAGCAAAATATTCCATTTAGTAAAGCTTTATACATTGTATTAAAAGGAAGCAGGGAACATATATTTTTAACATAGAACAGAAGTAACTTCATTCATTTTTTGACATCAGAGAAATGTTAAAAGTGGATTCCTAGTCTTTGTTGTATTCTTTTGTAGCAAGTGTTCCATATCACAAGTTACCATGTATAGAATGTAGACTGTCATGTTGATAGATTATACTGTGATACACTACTTTTGTCTGGACACATTTCACCACTTTATAGACAGTATTATATTAATATATTCATAAACAAATGAATATTTGTTTCTTTCTACAACATATTTTATTTCTATTGTGAAGACTTTGTTATATCTTATTTGCTACAGAGTTGTATGCCTTTTGACATAGATCAAATCACAGCTACTTTGACCTAGCATTTGCATCATAAATGTAATTGTGATGTTTCTTTCATGCTCCCTTCCAAGGGCTGTCAGTCACTTGAAGAAATTGTTGCTAACCAAGCTCTTGACTCAGTTTCCCTTAATGGTACAAGCTTCTGTACTATTGCTTTGTATTTGTTACCAAAACTTCTGCAACCAGAAAATATCTTTACTAGGAAATGCTGCAGTAAAATGTTTAGGCTATAGGGGACACAATTTCTCATTACAGCACTATGTGATGGTGGTACACATGTGCACATACAGCTTTGTATGTTCTTTTTCCCAAAGTCCTTCCAACTCTTAAAAGTACTGTAGTCTGGTAGTGCCTCAAATGTTGGTAACTTTTTTTTATTTAAAATTTTCTCCAGAATTTGTTTTTGTACTCTAGGGTTTCTCAATTAGATTATTTCTAGTTGAGCTGTAATTTGAATGCATTATTCTCAGGGCTGTTTATGCTAAGAACTGACATTTCATTAATTTCAAGCTAACTGCCTGAAAGTATATTGTGAAATTTTCCCAAATTGTAATACAGTGATGCATACATACATATTACAAATTCTTAATACCAGTCTACTTACACTACATGCTAAATATTGAATAAAAAAGATACTGGAATCTTGCCACACTTTTTCACTTTCGAGTAGAATTTGTTAGTTTTACCTTAGAAACCTGTCTCCTTAATGATACATCTGAGAGCATTCCTTCAGAAAGAACCCCAAAGGTGGCATTAGGGCCATTCGTTGACATAGTAGTTCTTAACAGATTAGGGATAACACACTGAAAATTCATAATCCTCTTTTGAGTACATTAAAATGTTTACATAATGATCTTGAAAATGAACTAGGAACACATTTACTCTGACAAAATATGGCTTTTAATAGAAGAGCAAAAACATAAGAATATTTCCATAAGCAGTATATTGTATGGATCAATAGTTTGAGGTTTTCTAATATCATGCAGGCACAATATTTCATAGTGTGCAAGTCTTTTTATTTTTCCTGCTAGCATTGAGACAAATAATTGGCAACAAAGGTTTAAGAAAATTTATTGTAGAAATTTTTTGTGTGTGTTGAAAATCTTAAGGTTGAGAAAACTCAATCTATTAACTTTATTAAATTTATTTTTTCAGAATTGGGTATACGGTATCATTATTTGGTTTTGTAGGGAACATTTGGATTTAGCTTACAGACCACAGATGTTCTGTGGGAACATAGCTGGAAGTCACTATATAATTTGTTTTTCTATTAAGTAAACATCTGAACACCAACTGAACTATCAAGTGAGGTCAAGTGCCTGAAAAGTGCTGAGTCCATCTAATAAGCACGTTTCTGAATGTGTAAGATCTCACAGCAATGCATACCAGGCTTTCACCTGCTGGAAACATACTTGTTGACAAACTTGGCCATCCACAATTATTCCCCTCTCCTCAAAACAGGTAGAAATTATTTTATTAAAAAAAAAGTGGTTCTTTATAGGAAGTTCTGAAAACTCTATCTTGGTATTGGTAGAATTAGGTTGATCTTAGTTCAAGATGGAACTTGTCAAAAACTCTCAACACTGAACTGTATTCAGCAATGACTGAACATCTCGTCATAAGTCAGTTGTGATCTTTCTTGAGAGGAACTCTATTGTGGTAAATACCTACTACAAATAAGCACTCTTGTGTTTATTGCAAATCACTAGTTCTATGCAGTATAATGAAAATAACTAGTTCTATACTGTTATGTACATTAGTCCTCCTCTCCAGAAAGAAAGTAGTTGAAATGGCATTGTCTAATACAGTGGCACTTTATTAATAACATATTTTAGTTGTCCTAAATATAGGAGAACTCCTGCCCTGACCTGCAGAGACCCAAATGTTTTAGCTAAAACTTTAAAATAGTAAGATATGTTATATCAGTATTACAATTGTGCATTTTACATTTTAAAAATGGGTAAATTTCAAATGTTAATTCTTTGGCTATACTAAAATATTCTTTAAAATGTAGCTGATGAACTGATCAATTATAACTTTGTTAAGATATATTTGTCTGTTTCTTCATCAGTTATACTAAATAAAGCTAATTCAACAGTTTGCACTATTGTACATGTTTTTTACATAAATATTTTTAAAATATTTGCATACTAGAAAATTTTATGAATTAATGCATATATCACATTTTTTATATTCTAGGTCCTCACTGAGAATGCCCCAATTTTGGCTGGGTAATTTAATTTCTACACTTTAGTTCCAGATTCAGGTACAATTTTGGTTTTATTTTTAATTTTTAATATTTTTAAAAATATGTGAAATAGTCACTTAGTTCACATTTTAACAAGTCCAAAATAGTAAAATCTTCTCCTCTTCACCTGCTTTCTGTGTACCCTTCCAGGGATACTTAATGCCAAGGAAGTTAATGATCCCTCCCAGGGTCAGAGGTACTCCTTCCCTCCCAGCTGTATGCTACTCTCTTTCCACAGTGACGTGAGTGGTGCAGTGAGTCCCTGACCCCCACTCTTTCCCAGTCCTCTGTCTAACCCACACCAGCTAGATAGTTCATCTCTGGATAGCTCACTTGGTTTCTTCCTTTCATGCGTTGTACCATTCTAAAATATCCCTCTCCCAGACATGTGAGCCATGCCAGAGCTATCATGGCAGTTGTCACTTCATAGCCTTGATCATTAGTGGGTTTTTTAAAAAGATTTATTTTATTTGAAAGTCAGAGTTAAACAGAGAAAGAAGGAGAGTCAGAGAGAGAGAGGTCTTACATCCTTTGGTTCACTCCCACTTGGCCGCAATGGCTGGAGCTGCGCCAATCCGAAGCCAGAAGGTTCTTCCCGGTCTCCCATGTGGGTGCCAGGGCCCAAGGACCTGGGCCATCCTCTACTGCTTTCCCAGGCCATAGCAGAGAACTGGATCAGAAGTGTAGCAGCCAGGACTTGAACAGGCGCCTATATGGGGTGCTGGCACTGCAGGTGGTGCCACAGCACTGGCCCATGCCTTGATCATTAGTACTAATATCCCTGACCTACCAGATGCAGAAGGCAGACTTTGAGAGTAAAAGAGTCACTGGATTAGTCTTCTAGCCTCCATCCCCATTGTTGGAACTTAAAAATACCAATAACCCAGTTTCCCAGATGTAGGCACAGGAGGGAGAAAAGAAGAAAAACAGCTAATAAGTGTTTTGTGCTTCTTCCCCCAAATAATTAAACATTCTAGCCAAATAGGAGGTGCCCTTCTGTGAATCTGGTCCAATTAGGACGTGCTGCCTAGTGTGCTCCATTGGGAACTTGAAACACCAGTTCCCACAACATGCTGAGCATATCTGTTAACACCAGGAGCATAGTGGTTCCAAAGTTGTAACAGTACATTGTCTGATCTGAGAGTCATTTCTGAATCCACTCTAGGTAATTTTTTGCCACATCCATGGGCACTTACCAGCACCACAGTCAATTGCATTTGGCTGTTCATGAGGGCCAAAAAGGCATGGCAACCTCGGTTGCCAAGTGGATTCTAGTTAAAAGAGTGAGGGTCCTAAATTTCCATCACTATAAACTGCTTTTTTTGGCTCACAATTACGTGTATTTCACCTAAATTGTGGGTGTTGGTATAGTCCATTTTAATCACAATATAATCAGTGAGGTAAATTTAACACCTTGAATTAGAGAATATACTTTTCTTTCTTTTCTTTTTTTATTTGACAGAGTTACAGTGAGAGAGAGACAAAGAGAAAGGTCTTCCTTCCGTTGGTTCACTCCCCTAATAGCCACTACAGCCGGCACTGTGCAGATCCAAAGCCAGGAGCCCATGCTTCCTCCCAGTCTCCCATGCAGGTGCAGGGACCCAAGGACTTGGGCTATCCTCCACTGCCCTCCCAGGCCACAGCAGAGAGCTGGACTGGAAGAGGAGCAACCGGGACTAGTACCTGGTGCCCCAACCGGGACTAGAACCCGGGGTGCAGGCGCCACAAGCGGAGGATTAGCCAAGTGCGCCACAGTACCAGCCGAGAATATACCTTTCAAAATCAAATAGAACTTAAAAGATATTTACAACACAATGAGAACAGTAGTGATTTCTTTAAGTATAAATATGAAAAGTAACACTATAATACCAATTCCAAGTGAAATTAAGAACAAAAATAGAAAATTAGATGCCACTTTGGGACACCCACATTCCATATCTGAGTCCTAGCTCTATATCCAATTCGAGCGTCCAGCTGCCAACCCTTGGGAGGCAGCAGTGATGGCCCAAGTAGTTGGTTCCTGCCACCCACATTTGAGACCCAGGTTGAGTTGTAGGCTCCCAGTTTCTGGCTAACCCAGCCCAAGCTGTTGAAGGCATTTGAGGAGTGAAACAGCAAATGGAAGATCTCTATCTCTGTCTCTCAAATAAAATTTTAAAAGAAAATAGTCCTTCCTGCTGTAAATTGTAAGATAGTATACAAATGTATAATGAGAAAACAGAAATTAAAGCCCTGTGTGTTGGAATCTGTATAAAACAGTATTAGAGGAAAATTCATATCATATCTGTTAATCAGTAAAAATGAAAGTATGAGCAAAACTGAATTAAATTCCTAAATCAAACAGAAAAACCTAAAGATAAATGCAGAAATCAATGATATGAATAGGAAAATATCTAAATAAAATTCTGATTTTTTGAAAATATATATAATAAAATTTTTATAACTTCTTAGGAAAATATGGTTATCAAAATCGACCACAGTAAAGATAAAAAGCTTAAACAGAAAAATTTTAATAGGAGAAATAGAGAAAGCTATCAAAAAACTGTCCTACAAAGAAACCAAACAAAAGTAGGTTCAAATGGATTCACAGGAGAATTTTGCTAAGCTTTTACAGACCTGTTTGTCCCAGTGTTACCGATACTGTTGTAGAACATAGAATACAAACAGAGCTCCTAAATTCATTTTAGGAAGCCAAGTTTAGCATTGGTACTTAAACCTGATAACAAAATAACAAAACAAAAATATTGAATACAAAAATCCCTAAATACAAGGCATCTTCAAAAAGTTCATGGGAACTATATATTATGAAAATACTATGCATGAATTTCAAGTTGTTTTGCACCAAAATTAACTTTCCATGAACTTTTTGAAGTACCTTTGTGTATTACCAGTTTTTAAACCCAAACACTGCATGAAGAAAATAAAACCAGAGGTCCACATGGAGTTTATTTCAGAAACACAAGAATGATTTAATGATTAGAAAATCTATTACATAATTCACTATCATAATAAAAGTACTGACAAGAAAGAGCCATGAGTGGGGACTAGCACTAAATTAAAACCTGTTACAAATTCTCTAACAGGTGAGGAATGTCTAGCCTGTGGAGTGGATAAGGCTCATAGAATCATTTGGTCTGGTGCTGCCAAGGAAACTGCAGGTGGGACTCGAAATTCAATAAATATGTAATAGGCTCATTTGTAAGTGGATAACTGTACAGCCCGATGAATAATGTTGTAAATATCGAAATGGCCCTCGTCAGTAAAAAAGTTCCCCACCACTGATGGACAGTGAGAGACTGGCAAAGAAATAACCAGACCAACAGAAAAGAAGAGAAAACCCAGATTGGACCCATATACATAGAGATGTCTAGTGTTTGGGGTTGGTGTTGTTGCACGGTGGATCAAGCTGCCTCTTACAACACCAGCATCCCACTTAGCAGTGAAGGTTTGAGTCCTGCCTGCTCCACTTCCAGCATTCCCGCAATTGTGCCTGGAAAAGCAAAAGATGGCCCAAGAGGGCCTGTGCCATCCACGTGGGAGACCAGGATGGAGTCCTTGACTCCTGGCTTGGGCCTGGACCAGACTTCACTTTTGCAACCATTCGAGGAGTGAACCATTAGATGGAAGATGTCTATGTCCGTCTGTCTCTCTCTGTTGTTCTGCCTTTCAAATAGTAGGTAAAGACGCCACCTGCAAGACCAGCATCCCATATGGGTGCCGGTTTGAGTCCTGACTGCTCCACTTCTGATCCAGCTCTCTGCTATGGCCTGGGAAAGCAATACAAGATGGCCTAAGTGTTTGGGCCCCTGCACCCACATGGGAGACCTGGAGGAAGCTCCTGGATCCTGGCTTCAGATTGGCATAGCTCCGGCTGTTGCAGCCAACTAGGGATGAACCAGCGGATGGAAGACCTCTCTCTCTCTCTCTCTCTCTCTCTCTCTGCCTCTCTGCCTCTCCTCTCTCTGTGTAACCCTGACTTTCAAATAAATAAATAAATCTTTAAAAAAAATATGTAGTGTAT